CGCTCAATCATAACATAGCACCTTTGCCCTTAATATTAAAAACGGAGATTAAGCAAACACGCAAGCACATATTAGAGTAGCAGTCCGTTGCAGAATTTAAGATTATTCACTCTCGACAGGGTGGTTCAATTTACCTAGTGGGACGTGGACGAGCTGTCTGAACACTAACTTATTCAGTAGCCGCTTACACAATGACTCGTGTACCATATTGTTGTAACGCGAAAGTGCTATAGAATGGCATAAGCGCGAACTAACCCGTCCCTCGGCGCTTTTTCACGGCCGCCCGTATTTCTTCGCAATCGCGCTTTTAATCGCGAGACCGCTCCGACTGAATTGAGAAAATGCGCTCTGCATTTCACAAGGGTACAAGGACGAAGGGCAACCACACGCTCGCTATCTGATGTATTTCGTTGTTTGATTCTTCTCGAGGATAGGAGGGTTGGGAAAAGAGTGCGAGGACAATCGCATTTTCGAAACAATGTGCCTCTTGTAATTATTGTCAGATCACAATAGGCGGCGATAGGGCGAACTTTTGAATAACGAGAGGAAGACCGGCATCGGAACAGCATCCTCTATAGTTACGATATCGCATGCTATTGTAATAGATGTATGTACATTATCAGATCAACATATGTGAGAGATGCAATCCTGTTTTTTATAGATTGTGCGTCTTAGACTAATGTAGAGACCCTCTAATCTGAACACATACATACAAGCCATAGTTTGTATATCTATACAGGGTAGTAGTTTTAACAAATCACGCGAGAGAGAAGGGCATATATTTACTATTTCTTTCTTTTTCTCATTCTGTTTTATATTTTTTTTTATCTATTTCTCTCTCTCTCTCTCTCAGAAATTGTTAAAACGGATCAATCAAAAGTGGCTTTCTCTCATATCCAAGTTCTTATCACAGGATCTCTAGGATAATGTAGAATCATGTACGAGCGTTTATGAGCGCTTGCTTGGATAAAATGTAATAATACAATTATTGCTCAGTTTATTATTTTAATTATATTAGACTATTATTAGATATAAAAATTGAAAGATAAAAAAGAGAGATAATTATATCTTATACTAGATCTGTTTTCTGGCTGAACTAGTGTACACTTTTGGAATTTAAAGTGGAATATATATAAATATATATAAATGTTTGATATTTGTCGAAAGCGAGAAAGAGTTCTAGTGCAGTCTGAAACAGTGCAATAACAGAAAATCATTTAATATAAACCAAAATATGTTGTCATTTTGTCAGTTTTTGTTAAATATGTCATAATGATTTCTGGAGGGTTTTCTTTAGAATCTTTAGATCACGTAGAAATATGTTAAACGTTAAACTATTGAGTCACTTCTATCGAGTCACTCATATAGTGTGATCATGTATTGTTATCTCAGACATATATTTTCTTTCATAGAAAAGAATATGTCGATCACGTACATCACGAAAAATGTACATGAATCAGATTGTCAATATTAAGAAAAGAAAGATAGCAAAAGAAAAAAAAAGTTGGATTTAACAAGATTAATTATTTGATTTGTCTGTCGAATGAAAAGATCTGCTTGAGAAAATGAAGGAAAAAAATGGATGACATACTATGTTTTAAAAGCGTATAATTATGATGTAATTTGTCTTTATTCTCGAGGGATTGTAAAAATAAGATAGTCGCACAGGTATCAAACGAATAATATGATCCAATTATAGAGCTCATTTCGTACGCAAACTGCAATTATCATACGGTACTTGCGTTAGGATAGATCGTTAAGTTATGTACAAGACGTGTTGAATTATCACGTGCTTACAAAGGCGCAAATGCGTATTACATATATAGCTTTGGGGATTGGAACTAATCCCTTGTTAGCTCACGAGTTACCCAAATTCTCGATCTAACTGGTGGGAAC